TTTTAATACGAATGGAGGAATTAATTCAGAAAATTCGGGCAAAGAGAAGAAAGTCTGGATTTTTATTTTTGGATCTGTAATTCGGAGAAATTGAGTGACCTTTTGGGGAAATCAACGGTGAGGTATGAACGAAGGGATGGTGAGGAGTGGCTGGTTAAAATTTGGAGGGGTTTGGAAGTGCTCCGCCATCGTGAGGCGATTTTCGGGCGGTGGAGTTACGGCGGAGGTGGGCTCTGATTTCAGAGATAAGGGGCTTAGGTTTAATTCATTTTTGGATGAACTGAATGAGAGCCTAGGGTGAGTTTGGTCGTTTAATGATAGGGAAGGAGTGAAACGACGTAGTTTGGAATTGTAACTACGTCGTTTTGGCTGAAGCGAACCGGACCGGGTATAGGATGGGTTCTGAGCTTGGACCGGGCAAGTTAGGGGTGTTTAAGACTTGGGCTTGGGAAAAAATGGACTGATTTTTTGCCCAAAAATTGCATCTGCCCTTTTCTTTATTTTAAACCTTCCTTCTTCTTCTTTCTTTTCAATTTTTTTTGAAATTTAATTAAAAATAAAAATTAATTCCTACAATTTAACAAAAAAAACTAGTTAAACCTAAAATGAATAAACAAGAGGAAGACCATGAATAGTGGTTCCGTCACTATTCATCGGCCATAATTCCGGCATCCGGCAAGGTAACATCACAAGATTGGTCTCAAAAGAACCCACTTCTCTTTGTGAACAATCTCCTTTTGATTTTATCCTTAAATCATTAGCTACTCTCAACAGATCTTAATTTTCATTTTTTGAAGTACTGTAGCACGCAGTGCTTATTCAAAAAAATAAACACTACTGCCTTCATTTATCGTGGATGTGATGTGTGAGCTGTGAAGAACATTGTTTAATTCGTGATTCTTAGTTTTGCAGCTAAATCTATTACCATCGTAGCAGATTTTAAATCTCTTTGATTTACTGTAACATCATATTTCTTTTGCAAAAATCTACTGCTTAATTTTCATATATCATTTGAGTTCAAAGATCAGTAGGTGGACAGAATCTGAGCTTTTGAGACAAGAAACACGAACAGCTAAAGAACAATATTAAAGTACTGTAGCACACAGATTTTTCTACAAGCTCTTCGTATCTTATTTATATGGAATATTGAAGAAACATCAGTTGTTTTTGCTTAAATCTCAACGAAGTGCTGCCATGGCCAATGCGGCCAGTGGCCAGCTACCATCTTTGGCTGGGTCACCTAATCAACATCCTAACCTTACACAGCCATGCATGACCACAAATCCAAAACCAATGGATTATGCAAAGGCAGTAAATCCTTCGCCCAACACGTCGACTTTGCAAGATCGAGCAACAGTAGTTGATCCAATTCCTCCAAGACAAGCTCAATTCTTTCAAGGACAACCAACTGTATGCTTTACAGAATCAGAAGTGGAGCGTATGAACTATATGAAAGGACTACAACCGGCAGTTGTGTGCAAATTTTCATACGGATGGCCAGATATCAATGAAATACGTCGAATTATGCCAATGCAGTGTGGTATCAAAGCTGAATGCAATATTAGATATCTTCATGACATGCACATTTTGATTCGATTTTCATTATGGCAAGATTACGTAGATTTCTCATCAAAAGGTGTGTACTATATTAAGGATAAGCAGGGGAATGAATATCAACTGAGAACTTTGATCTATGATGCAAAATTTAAAGTTGGAGAGGAGACACCTAAGGTAATGACTTGGATTTCATTCCCTAACTTGCTGCCTACTTTTTTTGTCAGAGAATGCTTGTTTTCTCTAGCTTCTACTGTAGGTAAACCCCTTCAATTAGATTTGGCTACTATCAAGAGAACTAGACCTAGTTGTGCTCGTGTTAAAGTGTTGGTGGATCTGCTAGCTGACCTCCCCAAGAGTGTTCGAATGGACATTGTCAATGAAGTAAATAGGGATGTAAGAACTGAATGGGTAACCATTAACTATGATTATTTGCCAAAGTACTGTAAAGAGTGCAAGTTACAAGGCCATGACATGCTTGAATGTTGGAGAATTAATCCTGATTTAAGGGAAAACAAAAATGCCCAGCAACACAAAAATGTCGAAAATGTGAAACAAGGCACTAAGAAACTTGCAAAACATGATGCTCCCATAATGATCCTTACTAGTGGTAAGATAGTTGGTAATGCAGGCCCTCAATGGAAGGAAGTGCGCGACAATAGGGGACTAAATAAAGGCAAACAAACTGAAGGTACTACTGCACAAGGGAAAGAAATGGTTCTTGTTAACAATACAGCTGTGACAAAACAAATACAAACAACCAACCAATTTGCAGTGCTACAAATTGAAAATGGTGAGATTGATGAAGGCAACCAACTGGCAGCTATGGAGGAAACTCCAGTTCAAAAAACCACAGGCAACAATGATATTCAGCAAAATAATTCCACAACAGGTGTAGAGAATGAATCAGAGGAGCAGGAATTTGATTTTTCAACTAGACAAATGGTACAAAAGTTAACTTCTCCTAGCTCATCTAGGAGACAATTACCCAAGACACAATCCAACAAACTAAACCCTGTAGCACCTACTCTCAATCCTACAGCAATAAGAAATCTTGCAGCAAATAGGGAATCAACAGCTGATTGTGTACAAAAAGGTTTGGGGAAGGAACATCATTTGAACAATGAGTCAACTGCCCACTGGGTCCAAATGGCATTCAAAAATAATGTAGTTCAAGTCAATACTTCATGTCAAGACATTCCTTCATAGGACACCAAAGTTGAACAACAATTAGCAAACAACAAAGAAAATGAATTTGTTGAAGATACAAATTTTGAGAAATTAAGGACCAATGAAAAAGAAAAATGGGCAGGAGGGAGATTATGGCTCAACCAAACAGAGGAAGACTTAGCAGATGGTCAGATTCCAGATACAATGCATAGTGATGAAGAATTTGGAGGAAATGAAGTGGAAGATGAGGATCAAAGTGTTAATGGTAATGCCAATGCAATCAATATTCAAAGAATCAGTGAATGCACAAAAGCAGCAACAGAAAAGACAAAAGAGGGGAACATTAATATTATAGATCCAGGAGGGACTTCACATAAGGTTGTTAGTGATGTCTTGAAAGAAGCTGAAAATGTAGACAAGAAATAAGACAAGAATGCAGATAAGAACCAAGCTATGACAGTGCAAGTTTATGCAAGTAGTATTGTTCCATTGAGCACCGTGCAGGATGTAGCAGGAAGTAACGTTCCATTGAACAATACAATGTTGTTGACCAATGAACATGATGAAAAAGATGCCGAACTTATCAACCAGGCAGAGGATATTGTTACATCAAAAGAAGCAGTAGAAGCATATGATCAAGTTCACCATGCACAACTTAAAGGTAGAGACATGGATGAGGAATCCACTGCACAAAATTTCCTTAATGTTGCCAAGCAGGGAGATCTGTCGCCAAGGCTTATTGAACTAGTTAAATCTGCATCAAAGGGAAAAAAGAAACAGTCAAAAGAGACTTCTACTGTCCTAATTAGTGGAGTACAAACAAGGAGAACACTGTCCAAATCTCAAAACATTTAATGGATGCCATTATATGGAATGTCAGGTCAGTAAACACAATGCAAGCATTTGAAAGGCTGATTATAATGCACAGAAAACATCATTTTGAGTTCATAGGCATCCTTGAGCCTATGCAACAGTCTCACAAAATGGAGAGGTATATAGCAAGAATTGGTTTGGGACAGGCTGTGGTGAATGTGTCAAACAAGATTTGGGCTTTTATTGATGAAATTTTTGAGGTTACTATTTTATATAACATGACTCAACAGCTGACTCTGAGATTAATACACTCTGAAACACATGTTGAGCTTATCCTTACACTAGTTTATGCCAAATGTGATTGCACTGAAAGAATAGAACTATAGGATACGTTGTATGCAATGGCATCAGATATGACAGTACCTTGGCTAGTTGGAGGCGACTTTAATGTAATATGGGATGAGGAAGAGAAATATGGGGGCTTGCCAGTCTCTCTCATTGAAGTAGATGACTTCAGACACTGCGTCAATACCTGCAATTTGACAGACATGGGTTTTAAAGGAAGCATATTTACATGGTGGAATGGAAGATCAGAGGAGGACTGCATTTTTAAAAGATTGGACAGATGTTTTGGCAATAATGAATTGCAACAGACATTTCCTGGATTGGAGATAACTCACCTATCCAAAATTGGGTCTGATCATTGCCCAATGCTGCTGAAATGTGATATAGAAACTCCTCCAATTAAGAAGTCATTCAGATTTCTTAACTTCTGGACAAAGCATGAAACCTTCAAAGATGTAGTAAAGGAGAATTGGAATGTTGATTTTAGTGCTAACCCTTTCTGCATTTTTAACTACAAGTTAAAGAAGCTTAAACAGGCACTATCTACCTGGAGCAGAGCTACATATGGGGATATATTCCAGAAGATTGCAAGCCTTGAGGAGGTGGTTTTGGTTCATGAAAGACAATTTGAAGTCAATCCTACACAAATGAATAGACAAAGATTACAACAGGTCCAAGCTGAAATGATTAAATATCTTGCATTAGAAGAAGAATTCTGGAGACAAAAGGCAGGCATGTTATGGTTCAAAGATGGAGATAGAAATACTAAATTCTTCCATGCTCAAATTAATGGGAGAAGGAAGAGACTGAAATTATCAAGGATCCAGAATAGCCTTGGTAACTGGATCGAAGAAGATCACTTAATAGCAGAAGAAGCAATAAAGTTCTACAAGGATCAATTTACTGAGACTGCAATTCCAAATGATTTTGACATTTTAAATCATGTACCTTCTATGGTAGATAGTGATCAACATGAAAGATTGATGGCCTTGCCTTCCAATAAAGAAGTGAAGACAGCAGTTATGGGGTTGAATGAAGACTCAGTTGGTGGACCGGATGGATTCACTGGAGCCTTTTACTAAACTTGCTGGGAAATTATTGAAGAAGATGTAGTCCACATGGTCAAGGCTTTCTTTTGCGGTCAGCAGCTGCCAAAGAGTGTGACGCACACAAACCTGGTTTTATTACCAAAGAAAAAACAAGTTACGACCTTTGCAGACATGAGACCAATCAGTCTTAGCAACTTTGTTAACAAGATTTTCTCTAGGGTTATTCATGAGAGATTGGTTGAATTATTACCAAACATAATCTCAGAGGAACGGGCAGGTTTTGTGAAGGGCAGAAGCATAGTTGAGAACATACTTTTAACTCAAGAAATCATTACGGAAATCAGGTTGAGAAAAAAAGCAGGTCCAAACGTTGTAATTAAGCTTGATATGACAAAAGCTTACGACAGGCTATCATGGCTATTCCTGACCAAAATACTAAGGAAAATGGGATTTCCAGAAGCTTTTATTGGCTTGATATTTGATTTGATTGGGAACAATTGGTACTTTGTTCTTATAAATGGTCAGCCTAATGGTTTCTTCAAATCATCAAGGAGAGTTAAACAAGGTGACCCTTTGTCACCAACTTTATTCATTCTAACAGCAGAAGCACTTTCTCGGGGATTGAATTCACTACACACTAACCTGTACTTTTGTGGTTTTGGAATGCCAAAATGGAGCCCAAAAATAAATCATCTATCATACGCTAATGATACAATCATTTTCTGCTCATCTGATGAAACTTCGTTGAGACTTGTCATGGAGGTTTTGCAAGCTTATGAATCATCATCTGGTCAACTGGTGAACAAAGCAAAATCAGCCATATACATGCATCATTTAATGGATAATGAGGTGTTTAACAAGGTGGAAAGGATCACAAGTATACGAAGACAATGTTTCCCTATGACCTATCTTGGCTGTCCTATTTTTTATGCAAGAAGAAGGGGAGATTATTACTAGGGATTAATCACCAAGGTTATGGACAAACTTCAGTCATGGAAAGGCAAACTCCTATCTGTAGAAGGCCGAGCTATTTTAATTGCAAATGTCCTACAGAGTATCCCAATGCATATGTTGTCAGCAGTCAATCCTCCAAGTTATGTGATCAACAAATTACATAGCATTTTTGCCATGTTTTTCTGGAGCAGTAATGTGGGAGGGAGCACTAGACATTGGGCGTCTTGGACTAACCTTTGTATGCCTTTTGAGGAGGGAGGCATAGGTTTCAGGTCCCTACATGACGTATCCAAGGCACTGTTTTGCAAATTATGGTGGAATTTCAGGACTAAGCCAACTCTATGGAGTGCATTTATTAGTCAAAAGTACTGCAAGAAACTAAATGCAGTAATTGTACCTTGGAAGCGTGGATCCCACGTGTGGAGAAAAACGCTAGAATGTAGGGACTTGATTGAGCATCAAATTTACTGGAAACTGAGAATGGGATCGGCTCAATTCTGGTTCGACAATTGGACAGAGATGGGAGCCTTATATTTTCAAGTGCCTGCAGAGTTTGGTATCGATGAGGATATTCATAATGTCAATGATCTGGTTGAAAATGGTATGTGTAATGTGGATAAAATGTTTAAGAGCCTACCTGAAGATTTGGTACACCATATTGTGCAGAATATTAGACCACCAACTGAAAGTTCACAGTTAGATACTCCTTTCTGGATGCTTGAAACAAGGGGACATTTTATAGTAAAGTCTGCATGGGATTACCTGCGGAGAAGAGCCAACCCAAGATTAGCTTACTAGATGATATGGGTAAAAGGTTTACCTTTTAAGATATCCTTCTTCCTGTGGAAGGTGTGGAAAGCCAAACTGCCACTTGATGAT